ACACAAACACACGATAAAGACTCTTAGGATGGTTGTATGTACTAAGGTAATGGGAGAAACAGTCAGTACAGCTAACAGAAAAAACAAACGGCACAGACGGGAGGAAGAGCAGCAGCGTGTGCACCTCATGCATACACTTCCTCTCATCATTCATACTTTATTAGGCGCTGCATATGCAGAGGCAGCTAAGAGGAAGACAGCAAAAACCATGCGCAACACAAAGAGGACATAGCTATGTTCCTCTTGCCGACGTGCTCTCCAACACTCCCTACGAACTGAAAAACAATCTGACATCCAGTGCAGTTAATGCCATTTGGAGCCAAACCGTATTGCTATTATGTTTTTTTATTTTCAGTGTTTCTAATATTTTTTTATCAGCCCACCACAGCTGATGTTTACGAGGTGCATTTGCTTTTATCACACCATGAGGAAGAATGGTGATAAGGCACTTCCCTAGTGAAATTCAAGATCATTGCTTTTTGGTGTTGAGTTGATGTCAGAGTTGCCATGCCAACAGATTGAGAGTGTGTGTGTTGGGGGGTGGGATTCCTAACACTGATCTAGGCCACTGAGCACTATTTGAATCCATGGATGCATACGATCAAGAAAACCCACATCACGTTCCAGCAAGAAGGTTAATTAGAATCGGCTGCAGGTCGTGGTGTTGGCCTGATCCAATGTTCATGGCAGCACAAATTTGAATTAAAAAATAAAATAGATTCTGTGTTTGAAAGGATGTGCACACGAGAGGCGATCATCAGTTCAATGACTCTTAACTAAAGCGTGAAAACCTCCAAAGCTGTGGAAAAGCATATACGAACACATTGAAATAAAAAGTCAGGTCACAAGTGAAAGTTGAAAAACCTTTGTAGGAATCTGAATTTATTTAAAGTCTACTTATATCCATACATCTCTTAAACAGAGAAGCAAACAGTACGTAAATCTGCATGTGTGAGAGAGAGAAAGGGATTAAAGTTGGGTTCCAGCTGCCTTCTGCACACCTGCATAATTATGTGCTTACAGAATGTGATAGGCACACAATGAGCAACAGATAGACAGTATAGGCAGAGGCAAACGAACTGAATGTGAACAGATCTGAATCTATACCACTGAGGCATTGTCCTGATGAGTAAGGCTATGTAGCTGAAAAGGAGAAAAATCAGCTTTTTGTCTGTCATATCCTAAATACCAGCAGGAATGTGGAAGTTCAGTTAAATCTATGTGAAAATATATTTATGTTATTTGTATGTGTCCTGATTTTAAAATGCTGAAATCACTAGAAGAAGAAGATAAATTAGATACTTTTCTGGTTTTTCCAAATGATTGTTTGTAAAAGTATATAAGATAGAGAAAGTATTTGTGTATGTATTTATGTGACCGAGTTGGTAAAGCCTTTGTGCATGAATGCCTACATACATGCTCTCATCAATGTTTGCATTGCATGTACAATATACATTCTACAAACAAAATCACACGTACATACATTTATGAATGTTAAACAAGTGTGTATGTATCCCTGCATTGCTGTTTGTATGAACGCATGACTGTCAGTGTATTTATTTGTGTTAGTCGCTGTCTCCTCTCTCGTGAGTCTCAGCCAAGCAGCTCTCATCAATATTCTCCAGACTCTCAGCATGTTGAATGCTCAGGTCGGAGAGTGGGATGCTGGGTAACGTAGTTTGTTCGGGGTACAGCCAGGGCTTGAAGCCAGGGTTATGTCTCTGCTTCCACTCTGAATACTTCAAACAGGCCTTGTTGATCTTTTTCATTGCCTGAACAAAAAACAAAAAAAAAACAACACAAAAAGTAAAAAGACAGACCACATGTATGATTAATACAAAGATCTGCAATGATCTCTAGAAAATAAGCTAGTAGAAAGGATAGGAAGGATTGTTAGAAAATCAGTTTACTTGGAGAAGTAAAATGGTGGGCTGAACTTGACAGACAAAAAGAAATACTGAAGAACACAAGATGAAGCAGTACACTGAGGTCCCCCTTCAATGAAATATTTGAATAGTGAATGTTTGTAGTTTTCAAGACGAGTGTTTTTCTGAAGCTAACCACTAATTCGCCAATTAAAAAAAAAAAAAAAAAAAAAAAGCTTTGCTAGCACTAAACTGCTAAACAGATTTTCAACAATTAGCGGAAGCTAACAATAAAGTGCTAACTTTGATCATACACTGCTGTCACTGACACTAAGACTGCCTGTGATGTGACAACGTTGTAGTGAACAACTCAAAACGGTTCATAAATCACAAGTAAAGTGTCATGTCCTGTTCAGAGGTGAACCTTCAGAAATTAATCAGGTCCATCAGAACCAAAGAGGTGGAGCAGAACGCTGCAGTGCTGAAGCAGAGTGATGCATTCAATGTGTGTCGGACGTCTCCCTCATGTCATTTACTTTAATGAATTAACTCATTTTATTGATCCTCTTTGTGGTTAACTACTTTTATAAACTACCTACAAAGTTGCTGTGAATCAATATTCTCTATCTAATAAATGTTTGTATTAAAGTAAAGATGTGTAAAATCATGTGTGAGAGAGTCACATCCCAGAAACAATGTGGGCATTGCAAAGCATCCTGGGGAGGAATTATGTGTACAATGACTGTTTATGATGTTTCTGAGTGTGGTAATGGGTTTTTCATGTTATTTTCTTGCTCTGGTTTGACGTTTATGTTAAAGTTTCTGTTCCTGGCTGTAAACTGACACCACGAGTCAGAGACGGTTTGTGGTGGGTATGAGGGGGGAAAGCACTGTGGGGTGGTGATGGAATTGGGTGGTGTTTAGCTTTGCTTAGCTCTGCATAGCATAGCTCCGATAAACTACTATTCTCCTGTACGCTTTTAGTGCAGAGAACAATCCTGATAAGAATTTAGCAGAAACTAATTCCCATTTATTTATATATATATATATATATATATACATACACATACACATACATACACACAACGGTATATATATAAATAAATAAATGCATGCGTGCCAACCCCATTTTCAAAAGAGACCTTCCTTACGCCTAAGACACAGCTGCACACACCAAAATGGAAGTAGATACCTCACTCATTATTCAATTTGTCACAACATGCGCAAACAGATGGAGGGTATTTCCAATTCCCCCGTTTTATTTTGGGACGGGGGACAACAAGTGATAGTATAAAAGGAGTCAGAAGAAACGATGTGAAAAGACGACAGAGATGGATCAAAGGTGAAGAAGCCTGAGTGCCGACTTGAGAAGAAACAAGAACAGAAATAACACTTTTCCTGAATATCAGAGCAAAATCATCAATTTTACACATTTCTAACACTTTCAATATAATTTGAATGCATCCGTTTATAATGTCAAAATCTAAAATCCTGTTGTTGGTTTTAAAAGAAACTAAAGTTAAAACTGAAACGTTTTTCCTGGTAAAGTCATGCCTATTTTTTGTACATCTTTCTTTCTGAGCAGCTCTTATCCATCCAAGGACACTCTCTGCAAAGTCTGTCCACACAATTTAAAAAACTGTAAACACACATTTCTGAAAGAGCACATTTCCATGTGGACAAATACAAATACTTACAGGATCCCTGTTAATATGTTCATGTGACTTACATGAGGAGCGAGGAAGTGAGAAGACTTGTTGACAACCCACTTGGGTAATGAACCTGTAAAGAGAGGCAGGATGAGATGAGTCAAGACAAAATGGTGTGAGGGTGACAAAATCAAACGCCAATACGATGAGGAGGCTTGAAAAGGGATTTTTAGGATTATTTTAAAACATGCCACATGAAACACATCAAAGAGAGGCTTAGTAACATGCTTCTCACTACATTCATACACACTTAAGCACAATAAGACCAGGTAGTTATAGAAGTTTACACATTTTATATTGTTTGAACCCAGAGGAGCAACAGAAGAGGTGATTTTAAGGGAAACAGACATAAATAAATGGGATAAAACAGAAAAATAATGTGGTAAAAAACAGAAGTGAGACAGTGAAATAGACCGTCCTTGATATGGTTACTATGACAACTCATTTTGACATAAAGGCAGAGGAATGAATAATTCATAGAGCATGCATTAAGCACCAGGGTGAGTGAACTGGTAGGATTTTAATCATTATAAATGTGTGTGTGAGATTGATTTACCTCGTGGATCTACCTGGGCCATGTAAGTAAGGGTGCAGTGATTAGGACCCGTGCTCTGGATCATGTAACCTGTCTGAAGGGAAACAGCTCGCACCATGTCCTTTTTAGGCGGGTATTTCTGTGGAGACAATAACTGTACAATTATGCATACGTAGAATTAGGAAAATGTTAATCCCTTGATTATTTTAATATCCATAGACATAACTTTTATCTTAAAATATATGTTATGTCTTAAAGCTTCCATACACTCTTAAGTTAAACGATAGTTCAGATCTGGAAAAACAGGGTCTGTGGAACAAATGTCTTACCTGTTGCAGACTGCTCTTTGAATGAATTTAGTTTGGAGAAATAAAGATCTGTGGGAATCTGAGTGGACAACTGAGCTAACAGCTAGTCTAAACAAGGTCAAGACCAAAGTGGATTGCTGCTAGGCCAGTCACGATAACAAATGTTGCTGGGCAATTGTCTCAGAGATTATTGCGATAAATGATAATATTGTTTGAATTTGACAATAATTAGTAATTATTGTCAATATCAAGAAGAAATGTTGCTTAATTTGTTTTGTGTGTAGTACAGTTTTTCACCACTGGATGGCAGTAGAAGACTGTTTGAACCTAAGGATGGATACTGAGGGAGCGAGCAGCGTGTCTCTAAGAAAAATGGGAGGGAGGCCCTTTGACGTGACATGGGTCGTCTATCCTTCCTTTTTTTTGGTTCCCTAAATGGAGGACCCTCGGTGTGGTTTGAGCTCTTTAGCACAGCATTTTTCACACAAAGCTTTTAATGTAAAAATATCAGTAAACAACTTCTCAGCTTCTTTTATCAGATAAAAACAACTTTTTACATGAAGGCACGGGTTTCAACCGTGAATTTTGGAGCTTCGACAAGACCGAGGTTTGTTCCCCGAGGTCGGCCTGTTAGCTTAGCTCGTAGCTTAGCTTCTCAGCTTAGCTGCTTTTAATGATCTCAAAACGTGATTTTGGAGGGGTAAAACAGATTTTAAAGAGAAAAGAGAAAGGGAGATGTCAGTGAAGAACACCGGAGTTGAGCCTTTTGTCATCCAGTGTCTTCAGTAGAAAGAGAGAAACGTGAAGAAACGATAAAGCCGATAAATGAAAACGAGGTTGATAATTTCCATTTATCATGCGGTTAACTGATTTATCTCAACAGGCCTAATTGCTACCATCCTAAAACAACTCCAATCTCCATAGGATATACTATAACAGCTTTTCATCACTTTCTGTTACACATTTTACAATTTACATTTAATTCCATCTTTTTTCAAGTGCTAATAGCAGCAGCAGCTAGCTGCTTCTGGTGCAGCCTGAGATTTTTCTTGCTCTATCATCATATTTCTGCCAGAATGACCGTGTATTGCAAACTGACACTGCAAAGGTTTATAAAACAATGTTCACAGGAGCTTCTATGACATTTATGAGGATTCAGTTTTAAGATGGCAGTAATCTACTTCGGTCTTTGCGCAGCTCACACTGTTAGCTTGTCAATCTGCAACAGCACTGTCGTTTTCGCAGAGCCCCACTTCAAAACATCTGAACTATCCCTTTAACCTAGATTAATAAGTGTGCATCATAAACACATGCAACAATGATGAAATGTTCCTTATTTTCTGATGAAAGCCCCTCAACACCAAAGGACTGTGTAGGGTCTGTGGAACAAATAATATCTTACCTGTTGTAGATTGCTCTTTATTTACCTTCATTTTTATTATTATTATTATTTACCTCTTTATTTATTTACTCTTTATTTACCATTTATGTTTTGTCCAACAAAAATAAGTGGTGCTATTTCTGATCAGGACAGTTAACTCCTTCGGCCATGAGGCTACAGTGCCTTTAAAAAGTATTCACTCCCTTAAATGTTTTAGGCCTTTATTGTTGGCATAAATCAATCACGGTTGATATAAATTAGACTTTATAACAAAAAAATTAAAAAAGAAATCTCTCCCAATATCAAAGTGAAATCTAATTTCTATAAAGTAATACCGATTTAATAAAAATGAAATGTGAAATAACCGTGAAACTTTAACGTGACAGAGCAGGCCTGTCACAATAATAAATTTTGCTGGGTGATTAATTGTCTCAGAAATTATTGTGATAAATGATAATATTGTTTGAAATTTGACAATAATTAGTAATTATTGTCAAAAAAATTTTTTGTTAATTTGTTTAGAGTTTAATGCCTTTTTTGCACACTGGATGGCAGTATAAGACGTTTTGAACCAAAGGATGGATAGTGAGGGAGCGAGCAGCACGTCGCTTTAACAAAAATGGGAGGGAGGCCCCTTGACGTGACATGGTCTCTCTCCCTCCTTTTTTTCGGTTCTCAAAATGGCGGACGCTCAGTGTGGTTTGAGCTCTTTAACATAGCATTTTTCACACAAAATTTTTTATTTAAAGAAATCAGTAAACAAGTTCTCAGCTTCTAACGTGACTGTCCTAATTCAACTCAGAGAAACGTACATAAGTACAAGTCCAGGGATGGATGCAAAAGGATTTCCAAGTCCTTAAACATAACTAGGAGTTTCATCAAAGTTCATGCACAATAATCCAGGTAAAAATCCAACCAAGTTCAGTCAGGTCTTACGGACGGTTTATTTTTTTGTAGAAATATTTCGTCCTTCATCCAAAGGACTTCATCAGTCCAAGGAGCCACAAACAAACTCAGTCCCACAAGCAGAACACTCCCATAGTAGACCAACCAGTTTGCTGGTGGTAAGATGGTTTCTGTGGCCCGCCCTCTCCCTCGTCGACTCCTCAGAGGAAGCCACAGCCAAAGTGGTTCAAAACATCAAAGTTCATGCTCAATAATCCAGGTAGAAAATCCAACAAAGTTCAGTCAAGTCATCTGGATGGCTTCTTTTTAATAACTAGGAGTTCTGTTTAATTCACCACCAAGAAATGGAAAGAATATGGGATATGTGTAAGGTCGTTTTCACACCTGATAGTCCGGTAGACTCGGTTCGGGACCAATATTCATGACCTTTTGTTACATTTGAGCTGGTGCGTTTGCATTCACACTGCACTGTGGAGTCGAGTCAACCTGTTGAACCAAACTATTCCCCCGCTCGCCTGTGGGGGCGCTGCACCAAGAACTACTGACAGAAACGACACAAAAACCTCTGAAGACACGTCTTCTTCTTCTTCTGTAAATACAAATAAAAACGAAGGGGCATCAAGTTTTAGCAGTTTTAGGAGTTATATTTTGTCATTTTTCAAAAATGGACTTAGCATGAGCAGGAGATGAGACAGAAGACCATGCAGAATGTTGTTTTTCCACACTAGGCAGCTGACGGCTCCATATAAGGTCAGAGAAATGTGTGTTTGTTTACCCTGCGGAGCGGGTCTGGTCTGTTTACATTCACACTGTACTCAAACCGCGCTGGAGTTCTCTTCTACCGGACCGAGACCTAGGTTTAGGCCCGGGCCAGAGTTCGCCTTTTTGTTCCGTGACAGAGTTCGATGGTGCGTTCACACCTCCCTAAACGAGCCGGACTTTCTAGGAAAACGAGCTAGAGTTCGATTAAAGCGGACTAAACAGGGCTGGTGTGAATGCACCCTAAATGTACGAGGAGCGGGATGTTCTCACAAACTGAGTGACCGTGCCAGAAGGAGAATAGTAAGGGAGACCACCATGACTAGGCCTGTCGCAATAAACAATAAATCAATTAATCGCATGATAAATGAAAATTATCCACCTCATTGTCATTTATTGGCTTTATCGTTTCTTCGTGTCTCTTTCTACTGAAGACACTGGATGACAAACGGCTCATCTCCAGTGTTCTTCACTGACCGCTCCCTTTCTCTTTAAAATCTGTTTTAACAATCCAAAGTTAAAAGCAGCTAAGCTGAGAAGCTAAGCTACGAGCTAAGCTAACAGGTCGACCTCGGGGAAAAAATCTTTTGTCTTGTCAAAGCTCCAAAATTCACGGTTGAAACCAGTGCCTTCGTGGAAAAAGTTGTTGTTCTCTTCAAAAAGAAACTGAGAACTTGTTTACTGATTTTTTTATTAAAAGCTTTGTGTGACAAATGCTATGCAAAAGAGCTCAAACCACACCGAGGGTCCTCCATTAAGAGAACTGAAAAATAGGAACAAGAGACTGCCCATGTCGTGAGGCCTCCTACCCATTTTTCTTAAAGAGACACACTGCTCACTCTCTCACTATCCATCCTTCGGTTCAAACAGTCATATACTGCCATCCAGTGGCCAAAAAAGGTGCTACACACAAATATTAAACATTTCTTCTTAAATTTGACAAGAATGACTAATTACTGTCAAATTTCCAACAATAATATTGTTTATCGCAATAATTTCTAAGACAATTAATCGCCCAGCAACATTTGTTATCGTGACAGGTCTAACCATGACACCTGTGACCACTTTGAAGGAGTTTGAAGGAGAAAGAAGAAACAAGTCTATGCATACGACTGTTGCCCAGGTTCTTCATCAGTCTAAGGAAAAGAAAAAAGCCACTGTTGAATAAAACAAAATAAATCTAGGCCAGTGTCTTTAAACAGTCTAAATAAACTCAAGTTAAGATTTAATATAATTTATTTTCAACTATGACTTTCTCTGTCACTCTCTCATTAAGCTTAGAGTGGTCAACATTTGTATGCACAGTCTCTCCCATCTCACCTGCTCAAGCTTGTAACTCCTTCAGAGTCATTATAATGACATACAGAACTTGTTAGCTGGCACTGACTGAGACAGACGCACTGCAGAGCTCCAGCAGAGACACACACACAGGAGTGCACTTAAAGGAGAACTTGACAGAACTGCTTTCCTCTCAGCTTTTTGGTGCTTTTTTTTTTTTTGCGACAGCACTTCTCCACTAATAGGTTACAGTGTGGGAGCTTCTCCTGACAGAGCACAGTAACAGCTTCCATGAATCATCTGCAGGTTTCTGGGAAATCAGAGCATCATCATGTTCTGTCTAATAGATTTTTAAGGACTGCAGAAAATTTTATGCATCTCTCCATATGCTCAGGACACCAGGAAGCTTCAGATTATTTGATCTGAGAATATAATTCATTACAAAGCTCAACGATAAAATTCGTCTAAGTTTTTCTGTTGTTTGCTGGTCCCAACATTAAAAATGTTCAAATTGAAGACAATCCTTTTGGTATACAGGCACTTTAAATTTTGAAATGGTGACTTGGCATTTTAAAATCTGGATATACAATTCTGACTAAACAAGGCACCTAACTGACTGTGTGCAGCAGATGATGTTGAAAAGGTATTTAGTTATTATTTAAGAAAATAAAAAGGGGAAATAAGAAGCTTGGAAATAAATAATTCATCCCAAAACGAGATCTGTGAAGTAAATAAAGTGGTAGTATTACAAAATAAAGGTCCACCAAAACAAGGAAATGTAAAATTCAGTAAAAAAAAATTAAAACGACACTTGAAACAAAATATTTTCCATTTTATTTTCAAAAACAATTTTATTTCGTTGCACTAACATCAAATTATTTATTTTTTTATATAAAGCATTAAAAAAAATTCTGTCATGTATAATCACTTCATGGGCATATTTATTAACTTGACTAGTTTAAACTATTATTTTTAAGTGTTGATTATTTATTAGATATTGATAGAATCTGCAATTCCATATGTGAATATTTGAGTTCACAAGTCCCACTACCTTGAGCGCACGCACGCACGCACGCACGCACGCACACACACACACACACACACACACAGTCTATTGTCTATAAACTAATTGATGTAGGAATGCAGTAGGCCTTCAACAGCTGAGTCACATGAAATGACTTATCCTTTTGTAAACTTTGAAGAATTAAAACTAAAAAAGAGAAGAAGAAACACAGAGAAAGGTGAAGAAAAAGATATTTCCAAACAAAAAAACAGAAGTAAATTCAAAAAATGAACATTAGGATAAAGAAAACCTGACAGGAAATGCCACTGGCAAATCAACTGATTTAACTAATCAGTATCTCCGTAACAATATGTAAATTATGGCATAATAACTGTAATCTGGTAGTTGGTAAAATATGATAAGTAGAGAAAACTTGTCCATAAGTCAAGACAAAAAATAAATAAACTGGCACATTGATAGAAGAGGTTTCAAGGCCTGATTCCAAAATGTCACCAACATGGTTTCAGTGCTCTCTAATCACCACATTAGCTTGTTTTACTGCTTTGTGGCAATGAAATTATATTAAATTACTCACGCTCTTAGAAAGCCTGATCAGAGGCCAACCTAAAAATATAATGTTCAACTTTATCAACTTAAGCATTAGTTGAATAGAAGACGTGCTGGCCCGCATTACATGTACTGTAAAAACATCAAGGCCTGAACAGGCTGTTGTTTGACTGGTGCCAACCGGTCTGCTCTTCCTGGATGGATCCCTTCTCTATAAGTGGAACTTGAGTGTCCAGAGAGAGCTTCGTTTCACCTTCTCTCTACAGCTACACTACGCTGCTCTTCATAAACTGAACCAATGTTCATTTCAGCTCAGCCAACAAGCACTCATTTAAAGTGAGACTTGTTTCACAATGCTACGTTAGCATTCCTATTCAATGCTGAACACACACTGAGGTTTATGATGGGTGAATGAGCCGGGCCAGAGCGTGCGCACACCTTCCGTTTCTGTGTGCATGTATACTCACGGCATGTTTAACAGAGTAGTTCATGATGATGTAATCTTTTCCGATTGGCAGCCAGGAGCGAAGTGTGATGACATCACGGTTCCGAAGAGGTTTTGGACACTTCCCTTTAAAACATACAAAGTAACTTCAATAAAAACAAATAAATAAAGTTTAATAAGCCAAATGAGCCAACACTTGATCGTACTCCAAGTGTGCAACATACAAGAGTAGTAACCAACGTCTGCGTTGACCGTTAGCTTTCCGATATCAAACGTCTCGATCACATTAGAGTCCCATTTTCTTCTGTATTCGATGTCATGCAGAACATCGTACATCGTCTCACCTGGCACATCTTTACACACCATGCGACACTGAAAGAAAAGTAATAAACCCTTGTTTTTTACATGAAACAGAAACAGCATTACAAGTAAACAAAACTAAGCAAATATTTACTGAATTACTGTATGTACGATTGTGCAGAGCCTAAACAACTGCTTTGTATCTAATTTTTGACACAGTTGATTGCTCATTGAGCAGTAGAAGAAATGGAAAGGATTTCTGGTGTAGCCTTAAACTGGTTTCCTTTAATACAATTTAAAGTGTGGCTACCGATTACAGCGCCACTGACCTGTGGGATGCTTCAGGGATCTATATTTGGAAAAGCTTTATTTTTATGATTTATTTTATATACAGTACATGCTTCTTTTGGTCCCTCTACAAATAATCAGTTGAGTGTTTAATTTCGGCTTATCTGATGACATTCATCCTTATTGGTCCTTAAAACCTGATGACCTAGCAAATATAGCTCTCCCACACAGTTGTATGACTGAGATCATCAGCCAGACATCTAATTTACTGATTTTTGCCCATAACCAAGTTCTTGACGAGTAATCACATAAAATTTGTAATTAATTAAAATAAAATAAAAAATATTTGACTACTTTTGGCTCTTTTTATTTTCAAGGGTTGCCACAGCGAGTCATCCTCTGCCTTTCCACTTGGTCTCTTGGACACAAAACATCTACCTTCCTTCTCTGCATCATGTCAGCCTGCTCTCTATCTTTGCCTGTCATTGTCCCCACATTTAGAGTTGCAACCCTCAATCCTACATGATTGACTTTCCTCTTCTCCCTCTGTCTCTTGACACATTTCTCTGCTCGTGGTTTCTGACTAACAGTAGCACAATTTCTGCTGGCACCCTGTTTGTCCACAGCTCCGGTGGCGGTCATCGTTAACCCGGGCCTCAGCTGATCCAGTATGGTGTTGCTTAAGATTAAAATGCGCACGCTAGTTTTGGTCAAAGTGTTTTCTGTTCACGGGCCCACTGTCTCTAAACTCTGCACCATCACTCCCCTCAATCAACTTAAATTTAACAAATGTTAATTCTGCTGTTCAGTCAAGTTATTTTTACCCAAGAAATGCAGCTGAAGTTGCCCTTCTGTTATCTTAATAACATTTTGAAATCGTAATTCAGGCTTTGAAGTTGATACAATGACACATCTGTTAGACCCCAAAGTTGTTATCAAGGTCTTGTTGTTTCTTGTTCCAGACTGAAAACACAAAGAGATTGTGAATTCACCGTCCCGGGTCTCAGACTGTGGAAGTCATCCTTTGGCAGACAGCTTTCTTGTGAGTTTTAAATCACAGCTAAAGAATGACCTCTTTTCACAGTATTTTTTGTTTGTTTCATCCTTTTTTGATCATCTCCAAAAGTGCTTCATTTTTCTTTGAAATTAAATCATCATTTTGTTTTGACCCATTTCTGTGCTCCTTTTTTTTTTTATTTTTAGCAATTGACTTTAAAAAGTACGGAGCCCCGGAGGGGACATGTCGGATTATTTTCCTTTTGCATTCCCACGCAAAGTAATTTATGATTAATTTTGTATCAGTGGGCCACATGACCTAAAAGATATACATTTTTGTTAAGAGTTTTTGGTTTGGTAATTTGTTGATGGCCCCTAAGCGAACCACTCTGAGGAGGGGCAGACTGAGTGCAGCTGACTGAAATCAGACTGCCTGCATCGGATCGAATGAGGGGAAGACACCGCTGAATCCATGGCGCATGAATGTCCAACGTAAAACTAACTTTACTGCAGTAGCAGACACTGGATATAATTCTATTTAAGACTGATATCAAAATAAAACCCCAAGAACCTAAATTAAGGGTGTAGTGTATTCCATTGTTGCCTTTGTCTATGAGGTAACACCACAGTATTACAAGGGAAAGCAAAAATTTTGCGTGGGAACACAAAACAAAATAAAAAAATCCCCAATGTCACTTCCAGAGCTCCGTAAAAAAGTACTAACTAAAGAAAATGTACTAACTAATTTAAAAACTAAAGATTGTGTACCTTCAATCTGATGTGTAAACAGAGGAAAAATGGTAAAAGGATCCAGCAAAGAATCTCCAACACACAAACAAATATTGTGAATAACGTGTAAATGTTTAGACATCAGCTGGTTGGACAGTGTCAGGGCCAGACAGAAGAATGGCAGTTGGTGTGAGTATAAGAGTTCGACGCAGACAGAAACAACATTAGAGGGACTGGTCACTGGCCATGAATGAGTCATTGTTAGATCTGAGCTCCTGAATGAAAAACAACACATTCAGTGCAGAATAGAGACAAAACAACACAAACGTTGGTTACGTACTGTAACCCCAGATTCTATGAGTATAGGCGTAGCCCTTTAAGGCCCTCGCTAGTGGGTTTTATCCCATCACGCAAAGCGTAGCACTGAAAACTTTAGTCCACGCCCACCTGTCGTGTGGGCCTCACCCGGTCCGTATAAATTATGTTGAGAGCGGGTAATCGGCTCCCAAATAGCTTTTTCTTCAGCCATTTAGGAGCCAGTGAGGCCCAGAGCTTAAAGGGCTACACCTATACTCTCAGAATCTGGGGTTACAGTACGTAACCAACGTTCTATTTTGTATAGGCTTCGCCCTTTAAGGCCCTCGCTAGTGGGTTAAAAGGTGAAGTAGATGTAGTCTATGCCTCACTGGGTCCGTTCAGACACCACATGACGCGCCTGCTTGCACCAAAAAACATTTCATCACTCAGCCCTTCGCGTAATTACGCGCACCATGCACAGACGCACGCTGCATAATTTACGCGTTCCGTGTACATGGGTGCCCCGGAGAGAAAAGTTTTCGACAGGGAAAAGGGGAGAGGCTGAAAACATTGAACAGAGCAGATCAACAGCTCTTCAATACGAACAGGTTAATAAAAAATGAACTGATTAGTAATCAAATGAACTGATTAGTAACATTAGAACAAGACCAACAGTCACAAACTTGTGACTAATAAATATCTCACAATGTAATTGCATGCAGTCAGATGTGAGTTTAAACGAAATTCCATGAAAACAATAAGATTCATTCTGTTAAGGCGCTGAGAACAGAATGTGCCATGGAACGAGCCAAAACATCACGCAGATAGAAGTGAATAAACGAGCAGGGCGATGACCACGCGTCCGCAGTGCAAATATCCTACATTGTCATACCATTATGCAAAGCTGTCGAAGATGCGATTCCTCTGGTCGAGAGCGCCCTGACGTTGTCAGGGGGCTCTAAACCTGATGCTCAGTAAGCTTCAGAAATGGCCTCACACAGCCAGTGTGACAGGCGCTGGGGTGGATAACGGGCGACCTGCAGAAGCGTCTCTATAATGCACAAACAAATGTCGAGTCTGACGCAGTGTGGCCGTGCGTGTTACGTAACATGCCAGCACATGCACAGGGCAGAGGAGATGAAAAGATGTTTCTTCTTCTGATTTGTGGGGAGGGGGGTAAACCCTTCCAACATCATCATTCTTGATTTAAATGAGCTTGTGATGTTTTTAGCCATGAACGCTGGGTTAGGTCTCAGATCAGTTGAGCTGCCATCAGCTTGAATCCTGAGGCAAGACGGAGCAACAAAGAGCAGATAAATCACACACACTCTTCACGAATGTCAAAGCCAACAGCAGGGCTGTTTTAAGTGACAAGAATTTAATCGAAACTTGATCCAACAGCTCGAAAGGAGCTTTGATCAGGGCTTGCAGAACCATCGTTAAGTCCCACTGAGGATCTAGTGGACGTGACACTGGTCTGTGCCTCCGTACACTTTTTTAGAAAATGCTTAATCAGCGGGTGATTAAAAACTGTTTTGTCACCAAAGCCTTCGTGACAGGAGGAAATGGCTGCAGCATACGTTTTAATTGTGCTGAACGCAAGATTTCTGTCCATCAGCTGCTGCAGAAAGGATAGCATGCCACCTAGTGGGCATGAGATGGCCTCTACACCTTTCTCCGTACACCAGCGTTGAAAAGCTGTCCACTTTGATGTGTACAGCGCTGTGGTGGAGGCAGCACGTGAATCCTGGATTGTGTGCACTACTTCTTGAGAGAGTCCCATCTTCTCTAAGCGCATACGCTCAGTGGCCAGACCCAAAGGTGCTGGCCTATTTCTGGGGGACTCCTGATCGCTCCTCCCACCTGGAGGAGAGCATCTTCCCTCCATGGCAGTTTCCATGGACGACCCGATAACAGACGTCGCAGGATTGGAAACCACGGGGCGCTCACGCGCTCTGGGGCTATCAGAATGGCTGACAGTTCTTCCTCCCGAACTCGGTTCGGAGACTGTGATATTAGAGGGACTGGGGGAAATGCGTAAAGGAGCATTTTGGGCCACGGACTATGGGCAAACGCATCCACTCCTAACGGTGGATCGTCCCGTGGGCTCAGTGAGAACCACAGCTGATACTGGGCGTTCTCCCGTGTGGCAAATATGTCCACTTCTGCTCAGCCAAATTTCTCCCAAATCCGAGAAATCCGCTCCGGATGGAGACTCCAGTCCCCATGGCGCGGACCACCCCTGGACATTATGTCCGCTCCTCTGTTCAGGACGCCGGGGATGTACACTGCTCTGATGGAGAGCAGGTTTTTGTGTGCTCAACACAGCAGCTGCCTCGCAATGTGTAACATTTGGGCTGAGCACACGCCCCCCTGCCGGTTTATGTAAGCTGCAGTCACTTTGTTGTCTGTGTGAATCAGAACATGCTGATTCTGCAACACAGGAGCAAAATGTTGGATCACATTCAAAACCGCGAGATATTCCAAAACATTTATACGAGCTAATGTGTGAGGTGGCCACAACCCCCCACCGCCTGAGACAGGCACGTTCCTCCCCAACCTGACAGGGATGCGTCTGTGAAAATTGAGACGTGTGACGTAGGTCTGCTGATAGGGACTCTCTCCGACAGAGTGAGAGGATTTCCCCAACGTTTCAGGTCAGTTCCCAAGGGGGCACAGAAATCATCTGCCTCTTCTGACTTACCGGATCTATACGCAGACGAGCGAACCACCTCTGGAGGCGTCTCATGTGCAGGAAATGG